TTGAACCTTTAATCTTTACATTAGTAGCCAAGCATGTAACCTCTTAGGAGGTTACTACTATTTTTTGAGTCTTTACTATGTGCCAAAGGCTGTAGAGAGAATTTTGTATTCATGATCACCTTGTTTAACCTTTACATTAGCTCTAAGAGATACAAGTGTAAGGTTGACATGGGTCAGACTTGACTCAAAAGCAGCAGATTAAATGTTATTAGTATTGGTACAGACTTATTTTAGTATACAAAATAATACTATTTTATCATTACATAACACAGAAACAACTTTTTTTCCCAGAGATAATTCCAGTGTCTATACTGCAAGAGCCTGTTTGAATATTGCTTCCATTACTGGTTTCTAGACCTTAGGAAGTTTCACTGGGTTTAAGGGAGAACCACAAAGAAATGTTTGTGGAGAACCAAAGAAAATGAAATTTAATCCCAAAGGTGAAAGCAGTTACTTGCAGAGGATCCTGACTTACAGGTCCCTGTCTCCTCTGAGTGAAAAAAAAAAAAATAAATAAACCAAGTATTGTATACTAGCTGGAATGCTGGGCCGAGAGAATAAAGTTAAATATGTAACTGATTTCTGGGGAAATTGCCAGAGATGTACCTTAAAAACAGAATGTATTCCCACAAATTTGAGATGAAAATGGGATCATACTGTAAAGAATAAATAGAACCAGCAGGCCACTGATAGTTCTATAAGCTTGGGTATTAAATGCAATATGACAAACTTAGCCTACAGTTGGCATGTGGGAAATAGGTGTCAGTGTTAAAATAATGGTTCCTAATACAATTATGCCCAATAGCCTGTATTAAATTTCTTCCCATGTAAAACATTGCACTGTGCAAACTAAATTAAGCAACCACAAATGCCATTATATAAAACTGATGTATAAGCTGAGTGAAACCAACATTAATATTATCAGTAATGCTGACATTAATAAGAAGAATGGAAAAATGGCCTTTACTCTCTGGGAACAGCATCGTAAAACCTGTTTTAAAAACAGAAAAATAAATTTTTACATCCTAAACAGCTTTCCCAGGAAGTGAGGCCTGAGGGGGAACAGCAGTGGCACATTTGTCCAGTGTGATATTGGGAAATGTTCCCATCTGGCTTTCAGCCGTAGAAGGTATACATCTTTCCACAACTCTGAAATACCTTATTTAGTTTTGCCTTCAGGCCGTGTCCCAACCACTTATCACTAAGGAAAATTAAACATCCTGAAGGGTAGATTCTACAATGAGGACAATGAATCTGGCATAATTTGCGGCAGTCATATTCATGGATCTCGAGTGCAGCAATGATGACATTCAAACCAATGTGATCTCATTATTAAATGAAGGTTGTTTATGTTCTAGTTTACTTCTTCCCAAAGATTATTTTTTTTCCCCTTCAAAAGCAAGGTTGGCATGAATTCCTTATTCCCCAGAGAGGAATGAGTGTTAGGTCAGCTGGAACAAAAGCATGGAAGCTGTCATATTTAAAGCATTAAACATCATCACACATATTACTTCTCAAGGTGCACCATATACATCAACCCAAAGCTGATTAGCACATGTATAACTGACTCTTCAGAGAGACATCAATCCAGAATCTACATGAAAGACAGGATCTTTTTTATACTGTACCACCATATTACTTCCAAACTCTCTATGACAATGAGAATTGCCCCATGCTTCTGTGTCTTTCTACATGTTATCTGTTTATATCCTTTGCTCTAATGCTACCCTATGTTGCCTATGTTACTCTGTCTTCAGTTATGTTTGTCTAGCTATTCATTCATTCATTTATTCATTCAACAATTATGTCAAGTCAAGTTCCATGCCAAATGCTGATGAACAACATCTCAAAGACCTTAGAGAGTAGGTAAGGAAACACAGAAAATTCATACATGAGAGGGAAAAGAATAAAAGCCTTAACTAAGTCATTATGAGAATAAATGCAAATGGGATTCAAAGAAGATAGAGGCCTACATGAGCTGAAGAATGAGAGAAGACCCATCGCTGTATGAATTTCTTGAGATCTGGGGCAAAGCACTAATGCTCTAGAATGTCCCTTAGTTTAATCAACCTCTTCTGCTCTCAAAAATCACGTCCACACATACACGCACACACATACATCTTGCTTAGTATTGAGTTGTTTAGTATTAGGGGAAATTATAGGCACTGTCTCTCAAGTTAAGATGAGTTTATGAGCTCTGGAAATTCTTTCTTTATATTGTAGCTTTAAGCAGCATGCATAGAATCCTGTTGTCTGATTTTGTTTTATTCTCCAAGCAATAGTCTCCTTTGAAAGATATTAAGAGTTGGCATAATGGGAGGTCTGTCTGGCTTGGGGTAAATTTTAAAAAGAAACACCACCACCATTTGTTCTAACCTTAGACTTACTCTTTAATAAACATACAGTCTTAGGTAGGACCCTTCCTACTTCAGTCCTTGGTCAATTGTTCTGATATAAAGTAATCCACTAAAGGCAACATTCTAAACCTCCATCTGTGGTTTCCTAAGAAGTAGCAATGTTTTCAGGCATTCTGGATGTACCTGTGACACATCTTGATGCACCAACTAAAATCTCTTTGCCTTTTATTAGTTCAGTGAAATCACACAACTATTCCTATGAAGCCCAGAGTCTCTGTCAGATTTTGATTTGTAAAATATCCTTGATTAGAAAACAATGTTTGTTGTTATGTTGTTGTGTGCCATCAAATCGCTTGCAACTCATAATTTGTATTCAGTAGGTCCAATTTGTTTGACTGAAAAAACTGTTAATGGTTGGAGAACACAGGTACATAAAGCTGCTGGTTAGGAGTCAGTTGCTTTCAATTTCCCTCTCATTTTTATGCATCCTTGTCTCCCTTTCCTTACACGACCATAACAATCTACCAAAACAGGGACAGAAGTTAGGAACAGAAGCCTATTCCTTCACTGTTCTAAACACTGAGGTCCAAAGTTAGGCTACCAGCCATGTTGATATCTTTGAAAGCTGTGACAAAAGAACTGTTTTGTCTCTCTCTCCTCACTTCCTGGGTGTCTGCTGGCCACCCTGGTGTTCACTTTGCTGCTTGTACCCACACATATTTTCCCACTCTGTGTGTGTGTGTGTGTGTGTGTGTGTGTGTGTGTGTGTGTAAGAGACAGACAGACTCTCCCGAGATATTAGGTAGGGCTAGCACCCACCTTCTTCCAATATGATTGAACTGATAATGCTTACAAAGATATTTCCCCAAACCAAGTTACACTCATAAAACACAGGGGTTAGGAATTCACCGTGAATTAAACCATTTAATTCACCATAGCCTCAAAGACTAAAGCTGCATTGAAATTATCTTATGATGATTTGATAAGCATATGGGCATTTTTAGCAGTTTGCAGTCTCCTCAGATACATACTAACAAAAACACAAATGAAATCTTGCATTAGTTGGAAACTGAGGGACCTAAGTACTACCAGACACAACAGCAAGTTTATTTATCGACATAAGGGTCAGCATTGTTTCTTCAAGACTGAAAAGGTGCCATCTTTTTATAAATTGTGAGAAGGCTTAACTGAGATCATTTATGTCCCCACATAGGGCATTGTTGTTGTTGTTGTGTACCGTAGAGTTGGAATAGTCTCATAGCTGACCCTCCGGCAGTTTTTCAGATGCATTTAATCACATGGGAGGAGACTGCCCATCCTTCTCGCATGAAGCAGCTGGTGATCTCGAACTGTGTACCTTCAGGAATTTCAGCACAGCTTCTTGCCACGAGGATTATTTGTGTGAATTCCTATCACTTCATAATAAAATTATTTACTGTTAATGGCACACAGTGTTTGTCAGACTGACAGACAAGAAGGGACAGAGTTTTGGGCATTTTTCCTTTATAGATACTTCTGCTGTTAGAATGCAAATAAACATAGTAGACATCAGCTTTTCCTTCTTAAGGAGCTCCCCCTTCCCTGGCTCACTGCTTGATTAAATAACTTGCTTACAGTCTATTTGAAAATCTTTTTATCATAATGATTTTGATGTTACATTCTCTCTCTGCCCATTTTAATTTAAACCTTCTTCTGTATATTTATGAGATATTATTTTATTATGGACACAGGAAGTTCAGGGCTTTTGTGCTGTTTACCTGCCTTGCTGTTTGCAAATGTTGAGTGGAAGAGATGCATGCCTAAGGGAGCAATCCTATTTCCTATAATTCTTTTAGAAGCACTTTCCCTGTTTCTTCATTCCCCATGTTTCCTGTTACACACTGAAAATTAGCAGCATCCCACTCTCATAGGAAGTAAAAAAATCAAAGCTTTTTATAAGACTGAGGAGTAGGATCTAAGCCTCTCAAGGCCCAGGAGGCTGGGAAGCACCTCTGTTTCTCTTCGTCTCTTCTATTCTCTCTGATCTCCCCTGTGAGACTTCATTCAATTCTGCATCACACATTTAAAAAGAGATTGTGATAGATCACAGCCAAGATCCGTAGAAGAATGACCAAGAAGCTTATCCCTACTCCATATGATTGAAGGGGACAGAACAAGGACCAGAGACTAGAAACCACAGACATTATTCTTCAGTCTAACCTAGAACCAAGGCATGGCCATCCAAGAGTGAGTTCCTTAGCAGGTAGTTCTTTTGATTGAAATTATCCCAGCAAAGAGAAGTTTTGAATAACAGTTAGGAAGCTACTGCTGAGATCGCTCTGTGCTTATTGTAGGAATCATTTCTTCTATATAATTCAATTTTTTTCGGACTCAGTATACTCCCCTTGGCTTCTTACTAACACCAAACTCTTGTTTTCCCAGGGAGATGAATAAGCGTCTAACGGAAGAACAAGCCAAGAAAACCTACGATCGAGCAATTAAGTTAGAACAAGAATTTGGTGAATATTTTACAGGTAAGTTCATCTACCCTTGTATTGTAAAACAGGGGATGAACTGCCACATTTAGGAAGGAGATGGCTGCAGGCCTGGTAGACCAAGGCTCTGAAACTTTCCTGTTGAGAATCACTGATACCTATTTCATGGGTAGGGAACATCCCTCTGCTTCAGTCATTTGATTCAGAACTCCGGATTTAGGAGCAGTCAGCTTCCAGGTTTTCCATTGGTTCTATAAAATTGTCCCCTTTTCCATGAGTACAGAAGAACTGGATAGTGCCCTGGCACAATTGTTTTTGTGTACAGTCGAGGCAGAACTGACCCAAAGCTGACCCTCTTGTGGGTTTTCAGAGGCATTTAATCTCACAGGAAGAACTTACCCATCCTTCTTCAGAGCAGCTGGCGGATTTGAACCATGTGCCTTCAGGATTGTAGTGCAGCTTCTTGCCAGTAGGCCACCAAAGCTCCCCCTTAGTAGCTACAAAGTCCTTCAATAAATCGTGATCAAGAGCGGAAAATATGGAACATAACTTAAAATTCTAGAGTTTCTAGAGCCAAGGGGGCTGATTCAACCTCTAGAACTATTGTCCTGATATAATCTTTAATATTTAAACCAAAAAATGTCCCTTGACTATTCTTAAAACAAAAGTGTGGCTTAACTAGTGAGGAAAAAAAAAGTCTATCTTGAACATGATGCACTTTTAAGAATTTATACCAGGAAGTGACTGAGAGGACAGCATAATGGCTCCACCAACCCCAAGCCTGGCTACCAGTGACTCTGGGAAGGTGGACGAGCTATTCAATGTGAAGAATACCATCTACATTGACAGCTACCAGAAGTGCATTAACAAGGTGCAGCAAGCGAAGCCTTTTAGTCCAGAGAGAAACATTCAGTGGGATGTCTCCCTGTACTGAGTATACCTTGCACAGAGGTAGTATGACATGGTGCTGAAAGAAATCAAGGCCTTATTGGCCCTAGAGCTGCAGGCTGTGTGCGTGTTCACCAAGTACCTTGCCAGAGAGGGCCAGAAGGATATAACCAAGGTGGACCTGGACCAGGAGAAGAGCTGTAATGTGGACATGAAAACACCATCTTCCTGTTGATAGCCCCCTCCATCTATTTGTATGGCAGAAACCCAGACACCACACTGCGGGCCCTCACCAGGGTGACAGGCTTGAGTACTTGACCATGGTGGTGCAGATCTTGGTGAAGCCGGATATTTCCTAGAAAGAGCTGAGGAAGTGCAGGAGCAAGAGGAGGATCCCACTCTCACCTTGCTGGCCACCGCCTTGGGTCAGTCTGGCTGTCAGTGGTGACAAGCTGCAGGACATATACTACCCTTTCAGAAGCTGGCCAACAAGTGCTGTCCAACCTGCTGTTGATCAATAAGCCAAGCCGCCTATCACATGGCCTATGGGGCACTGGGAAGATGCCAAGGGCAGCGGCAGGAAGTGCTGGGAAAAAATAGTGGCCACCTGGAAACACTGATTAACCTCATTTTCTTGGACAAGCTTTCCAAGGTGACCAATCGCTACCTGTAACAACTGAAGAATTCCCATACATCCCAACCATTCATCAAGGAGAATGACTTTGACCAGCTTGTCCTGCAATATATGCCTCCATCACATGAGGCTGGCCTGACTCCAACTGCATCCATACGTCCATCCAGCCATCACCTACCACTTCTCAGCAGAGCCTAAAAGCCTGGTTCCAACAGCCCCATCTCCCACCAATAAAAACACCTGACTGGGATGCCAAACTCAACACCCAACTACAAAAAGAAAAAGAATCTATATGCGACCAAATTGACAATAATAACTCAACATATCAGATAAGAACCCTTAGTAGCAATGAGTTCATATTGACAAGGATGAAACAAGTCAGAAAATAATGGTTATACGACTTGAAGAATGTAATCAATGTCATTATATTCATATAGATATGGTTGGATCTGTGTATGTTTTGCTGTATATTTTCTCAAAACAACAAAATAAAAAAAAATTTCAAGAAAATACCTAAAATGGCAGAAAATACTTAAATATTTCTCACAATTAAGGCAGATGGAGCTTTATATTTCTTGGGATACTGACCATATTCTTAGCATGCATTAGCCTTTAAGATAAAATATCAATTTACTAGATCTCCTAAGAATAAAACAATCAACACTCTTAACATCAGCAGTCAGGAAATCAAAAGACCAATTGCATTGGGAAAATCTGCTGTCAGGGACGTCTCCAGAATACTGAAAAGTAATGTCAGTCTAGAGGCTAAGGTGCACCTAATCCAGTCTTCCCAATTACTTGTCATGCTTCAGAGAGTTGGATGATGACTAAGGGTTACAGAAGAAGCAGTGATGTCTTGAACAAACCATGGACTGCCAAGAAAACAAATAAGTCTGTTTGGGAGAGGGTGAAACCAAGTCTCTCATTGGGGGCTAGGATTTTGAAGCTACATCTTACATACTTTGGGCCAGGAAAGAATTGTCCTTGGAGAAAGACATCATGCTTGGAAGAGTGGAGGGACAGTGCAGAAGAGGAAAACCCCAGATGTGAAGGATTGATACAGTGACTGGGACAGTGGGGGCTGGTGTGTTGGAATTAGTGAGACTGTCTCTGGACAAGGAGAGAGTACAGAGCTGCTATACATAGGGTTGCTATGGGTTGCAGGTGTCTCGACAACACATAACAGCAAAAACATTAAGGTTTCTTCAGAGTATTGATAAAATGGCAGCATGAAAAGGTCCAGTCTAATCGGGAACTCTGGTACCCTCGTGGTAAGAATGGTACTGAAATCCCAAACGTACTCAGTTTAAATCCACTAGATGCTCCCCAGAAAGACAGGCAGTCTCCTTCTGTATGATTTATGGTCTCTGAAAATCTGCTCATGGGTCAGCTATGAGTCAGTTCTGACTTGATGACACAGAACAACAAAATTAAAGAGATACTGCTGAACTATCTCTAATTATTAAGGCAAAGTGTAGGTTTTTATACCTAATTAAACTATCTCTATGATATCATCAGACAACTTAAAAAAAAAAGAAAGCTGGAGACTAAAGTGAACAGAGTTCAAAGCAGCTCTCCAGATAAATAGTATCAAGACCATCATTTTCTCCTTAAGCCATTTGTAGGTCTCTCTAATCTCAATGAAAAAGTATTTTTTCCATTTTATTATTATTTTATTATTTCTTAGAAACAAAATCTGGTGAAGAGAGAAACATTTTTTTCTAGTGACTATCTTTGTGTTCTCTTATATACTTTCATTGGATACTGATTAAATCTGTCAAGTAATAAAATTTTACAGGGCTTGCCTTATAACTACATACTCAGAGTTCTAAACAAGAACTTAATCTTGAACTATCATTAGGTGAAATTAGCTGTTTTATCTTAGAATATGGAAAAAGCTAGTGATTTAATAGTTTGTAACTATGCTGAATCAATCAATATTAAATAAAGCTTCTATCAATAACAAAGATATGAATTATGTTTTCTCCATAAGCATAACTATACAGTAAAATTAACAAACAACATATTTTGACCAGTGGGCTATATTCAGGAATATAATACAATAATCAATATATCCTGAAGATTATTTTTGAAGATTTAACACTGGTTTCAGTCCCAACTCAGTAGGTTTATATGTAAGCCCTATAGACATTAAGTATAATATGGTTTTCTAACTACTAACGAGGATTTTTTGTTTTGTTTTCCAAAAAGGAGAAATAATATGATTAAACATACTTGAGTGATTTAATACTTTAGGTAAAACAGAATTTAATAGTTTGTTTATATTCCTTAGGAATATTGATCATGTCATTGATATGCATTAAATACAATATCTATCAGATTTTCCCATTATTTTTTACAGCATATTCTTCCCATTTAATTTTTTCTCATTCTTCCATTGTTGCACATTTTCCTCCCTGCCCAACCCTTCCCCCAGTTCATTTTTCTCTTTGAAGAAAGAAAAAAAAATGCTTTCATTGCTATACAATCCCCGCTCCCCAAAGTCCACAGTCCACTTTACTATCATTTCTTTTTCTGGAATCTTGCCATGAAAATAATGCCTAATTATATATTCCTTTTAAAGAGTTCTCTCCCTCAGTTGTTTCAATGAAGTACACATTATTTATCCACTCTTTTCTTAGGTTCCCCCAAACCCCAATGTCAGTACCGCTTTACAACAGTGGCACTATGCACTATTCTTCCTTTTGTGACTGAGATAATTCACTCAGCATAATGTCCTCCAGAGTCACCCATTTTGTATAATATTTCATGAGTTCCTTGTTTTCCAATGCAGCATAGTATTCCATTGTGTGAATATACCACAGTTTCTCTAGCCATTTGTTTGTTGATGGGCACTTGGGTTGTTTCCAACTCTTTGTCATTGTGAACAAAGCAGCAATAAACATGGGTGTGTATATATCTGCTTGTGTGGCAGTTCTGGTTTCTTTAGGGTATATTCCCAGTAGTGGAATTGCTGGGTCAAATGATATCTCTATTTGCAACTTTTTGAAAAAGTACCATACTGCCTTCCATAGTGGTTGCACCTTTTTTGCACTCCTACCAACAGTAAATAAGGGTTCCAGTTTCCCCATAACCTCGCCAACATTTGTTGTTTGCTGCTCTGTTGAATTTTGCTATTCTTACAAGGGTGAGATTATTTCTCGTAGTTGTTTTGATTTGCATCTCTCTTAGAGCTAGGGATTTTGAACATTTCTTCATGTGTTTGTTCACCATCTGAATGTCTTCTTTAGTCAAGTGTCTGTTCGTATACTTGTTTACCTTTATCTTATTGGTGCTCTCTTGTATTCTATAAATTCTAGATATAAGTCCCTTATCAAATATGTCATTGTCAAATATTCTTTTGACAATCAGTCTGTGGCTTCCTTGTTGGAGAAGTTTTTGGATGTGCATAGAGATTTGATTCTTAGGAGGTCCCATTCATCTACTTTATCCTCTCTTGTTTGTAGGAATTTATCAGATTTCTTAAGAATAAAATAGGTCCCCTATTAAAGTTTCT